GTTTTTATCGTAAATTCGTCCCTTAAACTGGAATTCCCGAAGGTCGGAGGTCAAGAAAGGGGAAATAGACCTAGTCGAAGGGCAAGCGTGCCCCTGGGTGTGAGACGATGCGCATTCCCCAGTGAAGGGCTCCCGTCTTAGCACCGCCGTATTCGCACCGCTCGCGCCGCTGCCACCCACCCACTACCCTTCGTCTGACTCTAGCCGTTTAGCAGAGAGAGCGTTAGCGTTGAAGAGGGCAGCACCGATGAGAGTCGCATCAATGCGGAAATCAACGGGCAAAGAAGGGTCCCATTTCTCGGGTTCTGGGCCGTTTCTCATGGTTTTCTTTATTCCCTGTACCACTGACACCCTTCCTTGATTTCTAGCGGGCTGCCTTCCTTATAGGCAAACTCCGCCTCTGAAGGCATGAGTCGGATTTGATTCCTTACAAGACTTTCCTTGAGTGAACAGCAGGAGTCACAAGGCACAATCCAGGCGGAAGTCGTGCGGACGATTTCTTCCGGACTGTAATGGACCCGTAAAGGGCAACCAGAGATGTGGCCCGGCATCTCGGCCTTACGACCCAACTCCTCTTACTGGATCTAATACAATCCCCCTTGTCGAGGATTGTCATGTCACCATAATGAACGGTCACCGTGTACTCAGTGTGTGTTTACAGAGTCGTTGGGTTGCTATTACAATACGACATGCTACGTACACAAAACACTCTTTTTCAAAAACAGAAGCGCGTCGGTGCAGACCACACACCACAAGTGACGACGGCCTCCACAAAATGTAAATGTTTCTGCCAATGAAATGATTAGCCTGTTGCAGTTGTATTCTATCAGTTGTCACTAATTACAACTATCATTTACCAAAATCAGCTATCACTATGAACCACTACTAACCAGATTTACTTGGAGGCCGTCGTCACTTGTGGTGTGTGGTCTGCACTTGACACGCTTCTGGTTTTCTGAAGCAGACGGTGCACACTTTCAAACCGACACATCAGTTCAGCTTATAATGAAGCGATTTTGCTTTGTTTTATTATTTCAAAGTAAAAGGGTGCTGATACGTTCCCCCGTATACCAGATTGCTTAATTTTCAGTTTACAGCTTGTCACTGACGATGAGAGGCGATTGACGGGTGGAAGTGTGATGCTATAGCAATTTACCTTTGAGAGCATTTTTTTCCTGTGAAACATATCAATCTTCTCTTATAGAAATGGTTTTGTGATAACGGGCGTAATTTCATCGCTTGCCATGGTCTGAGTGATTGGGTTGGGTATTGGTCAGGAAGGTGTTTTCAGTTGGTGTGCGCAGATCACTCACCGTCTATGCTTTCCCTTTGATCAGGGTAAATGAAAGACACAACTCATGGATGGAAGCGAAGGGTACCCGCATCGAACCCCTATTCCCTGGTACCCTCATGGGCAAAGGTTTTTGATGAACATGCGGTTATGCCTTTGACCGCTCACTACGCCTAAGTAAGCGAAAGTGGTTACAGGTGTATGACGTCGAGCGTGATATGGAACACCAACATTATCCTGTTGTTATCTGTGATGATTTCATGAATCGTATCAGGTGAGGTCATATTGCGAGCTGCTGGACCTAACGCGAAGTTGGACAAGCAAGGTGTAAGTTTTCTTTCACTTATCAGCATTCTTATGGCCAGGCACAGCTCACCTTGTGAGCGAACGTCGTAGCCAACGTAACTGAAAGGCTGTGCCTATCGAACGGTCGGTTGTTGTCCAGTGAGCGATCACTCGGAGTGGGACGGACAGAGCCGATCAACTTCTGCTTTCTTCATAAAATTTATCGTGCTTGCAATGCTCTTAATCCATATCTACATATAAGTAATTCAATCCTATGACAGTGGAAGCAAGTAGAAATCCGTGGAGACATACAGAAACACAGGATGGGGACATAAAAATGGTGACAAATTCATCTTTGTTCACTTTGAACCAGAAAGTTCGCAATGTATTATGAAATTCAACGTTTAAAGCAACACCCTCCAGATTAAATTTGTCGGTCACAACGGTAGATAATGAAGTCATAGAAAACGAGAGTTGACTAAAAATGTAAAAGAAGCAAATAAAGCGTCGATGAAGCCCAAAACAGATTTCCCCTTGAAAAGAAAGGGGCGGAGTCGGGCGAGTTTTCTGGCTGTCTGCTCCACGACTCAACTAACTCGCATATTTTTAAAGCAACAGTTCAGGAACGGTTTCGCGGGAAAAAACCACCAATAATGAAGTTGTAGATGAAAACCAGACGATTAATGTATGAAAAACTGGAAAAAAACGTCGGGGAGGGTCTTAGACAGGTACTCTCCCTCTGCCGCTCAGCAATGGATAAAGACGCACGTTGGACGAGTTGTCTGAACGTGCCCGCTGTAAACGCGCTCCATTTTTCAATCAATTTTCCCTGTGGTCCCAAAACGAGCACGATTGCCGACGCGTCCAATGACGGCCGGCAAGGGGGCGGGATTGGGGAAATCCCCAAGAACACCCATGTTTGAGGGACTTTCCACCCTGTTTTTGAGTTTCTGAGGTAAGTTCGTTTATTATTTCCACTGCATATGTTCTTCACTAGGGCTCGTGTATCCCTCAGTAGTAGTGGCATTGAAATTTTCGGACCCTCCCTGAACTGTTGCTTTAATTGCGGGTACGCCGTAATCCAGGCGCGTGTGCATCATGAGGTGCGTAACGTAACTACGTAACTTGTCAAAATGCTTAGATAGTCACCAAATGCTGACTTTATATGATCCCTAGCGCAATTAGTGGGAGAGAGTGTTCTTCAATTATAGAAAGCCTCCATAGCAGAAAAAATTTGGTGTATTGAGGTAATGTCTAAAATGCTCCCAGCATACAGAGGCACGCCCACAAGGGCGGAGTGTGCCCTGAAGTGCACGGGGTTTCCCCACAAGTAGTCATAATTCGGCCGAGAAGTCTTGGAGAGTGAGGAAAAGGTGGATAGAGGTCAGAGAAGAAAGGCTAAATGTTAGTGGTGGGCGTGGCTTGCGCAGAAAGCCGGGCGGAGTTTGCCACCGAGCCTATCATTAAGTTCCAAGAAGTCCCAGAGACCAGAAAACAGTCGATTGAGGTCGGCGAAAGAAGCTAACTTGACTGCTGTTGTTGGGCGGGGCTGGCACCAACATGGGCGGAGTTATCCAGTTATCCGAAACATTATAACTCGGTTCCATAAACTCCTATAAACCGTTACAAAAGTAGATAGATTTTGACAACGAGAGGAGGTCAACAGTTATAGGTGGATGGGTGTGCACCATTGTGGGAGTTGGCGTCAAACTTATGATTCTCTCCCAAGATGTTCCGGAAACCAAAAAAGTGGAGTCTGACAACGGAAGGGAGGTCATCTAGTACTATTCATGAGTGGAACGCGTAGCGAAGTGGGCGTACTTTGCCGGAAAGCGTTACAGAAATATCGATAGCCCTGTTTTAATATCACTGCAGTCCAGTGTGATATATTTACGCGAATGCGTGCGCAGCGAAACTGGTAAATAGTGAGTAGTTGTTGACAGCTTTCTTTGAAATCCTATCACGGACAACATTTGGCTTAATCTTTGACTTCCACATCAACGAAAACTAACGAAGAAAGGTGGTCTGGAAGCTCATTGAAACAAATAGGTTTCTTGCCTCAGTCTGCATTGAAGCGATTCCTGTGTTAAGAAAAGGAGCACCCGAACATGCGGTGGGTTTGAAGACTATTTTTGAACCATAGTCGTGGCGAAATGTTATGGCAGGAATGCTGTGAAAAGAGCATTGAGCAGCTTCTGTGTATGTTACCTCAGCAATCTCAAAGGTTTCTCAAGGTCTAGAAGTGAGTGGCCAGAGACTTCGCCACATTCCAATGGTAGGTCAAAACTTTGCGAGCATCTACATAGAGGACGGAGTGGTGGAGAAACCAATGACGCTTTAGGTCGAGTCCATTTTCCGCTATGAAGCTACTAACTCATCAGAATTGGTTTCAACCCGTGGCAGCAATCCGCGCACTAGAGGATGGAGACCCATCCCCTACCCCGAGGTTGAGGGTATGTCCCCAACCTCGGGGATATATTCCCAACCTTGGGGATATATCCTCAACCTTAGGGACATATCCCAAGCTCGGAGAGAGGGGATGGGTCTCCATGGAGCTGCACCCCCGGACCCTGTTCTTGATTTGTCGTGGACGAGCCACTGACCAACAGTGTTCGTTTGTATGTCAAAATTTGATAGCAGGCGTCAACGAACTGGCAGCCTGTTGTGAGTGATAATGGCAGAGAGAGCCTATCATGAAAGCTACGGCTGCATAAAGTGAAATGTTCTTCTAATCGTAAGATGAAAGGCGAACGATGACTACACCAACACCCCTCCCCGTCTCTGCCGTTACTGAATGATTTTAGGATGAAAGCTGATATCTTTGGCCGTCACTCATTTTATTTGGTTGTTCAAAGACAGCAATTACGATAAAGAGGGAGCGTGACGGAGAAGTATATGCGCCACACTAAGCAGTTACTTGGCTGTCAAGCAAGCGAGCTGTGGCGCTTCGAACGAACGGTGCGCTGGTTGCTGAGCAGGACTTCAAAAGCACTCCGTCCCAAAAATGGTCCGCCCACCAGTTTAGTTGGTGGGACGAGCCGTGTTGCCAGCAGCGGACGGAGGCACGAATTGTTATAGCGCCATCAAACGCGGTGGCACCATGCCAATTCAAGTGCAGTATAATTTGTCCTGACATCCGCCGTTTCAGCCGCTGCCCTGAGCGAAGATCAACGGCTAAGCATGGGCTCTTTTAGCTTTTCTTTTCTCTAAAGGAAATGAATTAAGGGTAGAGGAAGGCTAATTACACGGTTTACTTTCAGCCTTTCCGGCAAGGAGTCGGGGGACCAGGCGACACCTCCATCTCTCAAAGAGAAGAACTATGAGTGCGGCTTTGGTGATACTACCTGAAAGATTCTTTTCCTATGATGTTGATTTAGGCTGAATCGCTTGAGTCTGGTGCAGATAGTGATTCTGCTCCAGTTCACTGTATCGGCTGCCCTTACCATCTTTGCCATAGGTAACGCCGTTTTGTTAAACTTTATACGGTGAAAAAAAAAAAACGACCGTCAATCTTTAGTTGGTGTTTCGATAAACCAGCCAATAGGATTCATCCTCCTGCTTGCTCTGCTACAGTTTATCATCACCGTTCCTGGATTCGCTTACTATTTCACAAAAAAGCCAGGTAATAAATTTCATTTTTTATGACTGAGTTGGTTTGTGTCTCTGATTCACATTTGTCAAAACTCCAGGCAAAGTCAGGTGTGCTAATCCCACACAAATTGGAAAGTAGAGATGGGAGATGGATCGCAAGGGAAGAAAAAAAGGAAGAAAATCGTGAAAAACACAGGATAAGCGGAGGCAGGGAGATGAGAGATAATGTGATTCGCGGAGAGGTTGAGAGAAGTCCGAGCAAAGAGGGCATAGCAGATTAACGTTTCGACGCAGCTAAGATATCGATGTGGGCGGACCCTGATAGCTTAGGCGGCACTTGGTCGAAGCCCTTAGCGCCTGGCGTCTTAAGGACGAGTTTTGATGTGCGGGTAGCGCAACCTCTGCAGGACGTAAGCAAACCAGCCCTTTTGGCGCTTCGGCTGGGACCGTATGCTGAATGTTGGGGAGGGGATGGAGTCCCCGACGGTGGACGGACCACTTCAACTCGGTCCTTAGAACCGCCACAATTTGGTGCTTACCTCAGAACTAAGCCTTAAAGAGAGGACGGGTCCGTCCCCTCTCCAAGGCTTAGTCCTGGGGTGAGCAAACCAGCCCTTCTGGCGGAGCTGCTGGACCAGCTGCACCACTTGCGTCAGTACTCTCCTATCGTACCAACCGAGTTGAAGTAAACCGTCGACCGTTGGGGACCCCATCCCCTCCCCAACATTCAGCATACGGTCCCAGCCGAAACGCCAAAAGGGCTGGTTTGCTTACCTCGTCGAGGAGGCGATGACAAGGCTTTGAGGCTAAGGCAAGCCCGCCCAGGCAGAACTATCGTTAGGAAAGGATATATCGCAAACAACACACAATCCATACTAAACTAATTTTAATTAACGAACGCCTCTAAATAAAGCCCCGGCCAATGATAGTAAAACAGTTGCGGCAGAAAGAAAAGGTGCTAACTTAGTTGGGGGGGGGGGCCACGCGGCGGCGCGGCAGTCTGCTCACCTGGGCTCTCTCGAACGAGACAGTGTAAACTCGAACATTCCAGCTTTTCACGCATGTCAAGTGACTGCCCCCACCCCCCACCCCCCTAGACTGCCTACACTCCCCCTGCCCCACGGATTTCCGAACATGCCAGGCGAGCAGACTGCCGCGCCGCCGCGTGCCTCCCCCCTAGCCCTCC